AACCTTTTACACAATGCATAAAGAAATAAATGTGGATAGTGTCCACATGTGGACACAGATGATGCCCCCGCTTGCATATCGTATAGTTATAAAGGGACATAACTGAAGAACGGTAAAAGTGACGCTACCCAAATTTGAACTTCATCTGAGTTTTGTGGTAATAAGCATTGTGTGTTTGTCTCATAACATTTGGTTGAGGCTAACTTAAGTAGAGAACAGAAACTATTATATATATATAAAAATTCGGCAATTTTTCTATTTGTAAACACGCATAACTTTATAACGGTTGTGTATAAGTTTTATAACATTTGGTTGAGACAAACTAAAGTTAAAGAACGGGAACGAAAAATTCAGCAATTTTTATGCTTATAAAGGGACATAACTCAAGAATGGTAAAAGTGTCGCCACCAAATTTCGTACTTAATCTCTATTATGTAGTAATAAGCATTGAGGCAAACTAAAGTAAGAAAACGGAAAAAAAAAGTTTGTACTTGAATTAAGTTTTGTGGTAATGAATATTGTGTATAAGTTTCATAATGTTTGGTTGGGGCAAACTTAAGTTACAGAATGGAAACTAAAAATTTTGCAATCTTTGGATTTATAAAGGGGCATTACTCAATAATGGTTAAAGTGACACTTCCCAAATTCAACTTGATCTGTGTTTCATCAGTGGAAGTCAAAATTAAAAATTGCATTGTATAAAGCATTGACTGTAGTTGATTCAACTATAATCATGGACAAAGGAAGATAACTCCAATTTTAAAAATTACTTAATATTAAGAAGAAAATAAAAATTTTGCAAATTTTTCCATTGATTAAGGGGCATAACTCTAGAATGGTGAAAGTGAAGCCACTAAAATTCAACCTTGATCTGTGTTTTGTGGTAATAAGCATTGTGTATAAGTTTCATAAAATTTGGTTGAGGCAAACTCGTTAGAGAATGGGAACCAATTTTGGGATGTACAGACGAACAAGGGTAAAACTTAATGCCCCCACCGCCGTAGCGGTGGGCATAAAAAAAACAAACCCTTGACATGCTCTAAATCATGTAAAGTCTAAACAAGTTGTTAATGTATTTAACCAATATCTTATTACTTTACAATTAAAATTGAAATATAATACATTTTGTAATAAAAAAATCTTTTAAAAGAATTCTGCTCAGAAGTTTAATTGAGTTTTCCCTATAAACATTTACTGCAAACACATATCTCTAGAAGACAAAGCTATTTCCCAAAGGAACTGAACGGATCACTGGGATCAAACAAAAATTATGAAGTGAAATAACTGGGGTCTGAAAAGTTTGGTAGAGTCACTTCCATTTATTCCTGTCCAAAATTTTCTTCTATTACTGATGTAAGCACATGAAACAGTGTTATTGAATACCTAATACTTTTTACCGACTTTTCCAACAAATCATTTCTTTTTACCCATTATAATGGTTAAAAAAAGTTGTTGTTAGAATTGGACTCATTGCAAATAAAATCTAATTATTTCACAGACAATTACTTTAAACAAAATTCCAGATATAAAAATTAAGAAGTGGTTCTGAACAGTTTTTATATTCCCCGCCATACATACTATCATCAAAATATCATGATCAAGTACCATAGGAAGTGCTTTTTAGTATAGATCAGATTTTGTACTTTAGATAATTTCTACAGCAATGACTGTAATTAACATACTCTATAATAATATATTAAAAATTCAGTCAGTGGCGCACGGAAGTAGTCAAGAAGACAGTATTATTTTTTTTAGGGGTTGACAGGATACACGTAATCGTTTGTAACAATGATTCAATACAGTTTTTTGTTTTTGTTTTTCACTTTACATAGGGCTTTATCTCTGATCTTATTTCTTAGTGCACAATTCTGATTCAACGTATTTCACCTTTATCAATATAAGGAAAACCTGTTTCGGACAATTCCATATATCATTATGTTTTAGGGGTTTTTAAGATTCAGTGTCGTGATATTGTATATTATTTAGCATTGTCTGCGAGTAATAAATCATTTTCTGATAAAGTAACTTAATTCAAAACCAATATAAACATAGTTCACATATTTTTTTATTTATCTGTGTAAATTGATCTGAATGTGAAAGACAACATAGACCTAAAATTCTTTTTGGTCTATCCCATTTAACACATGACATTTGCGTGGGAACTTCTTCCATTGACCATTAACATCGTGATATAGTGGTCGTTAATACTTGATTTTGGATTATTGTAATGTGATATACCGGTAAATTGTTTTTGGATTTAATGGGATATTATTTGTTTCTTCTTCTAATGTACATAATTTGACGTCAGGTTTGTACACATTAAGTTTATATATAGTCTAGTCAGAACTGAAGTAGATGTATAGCATATCCCATCATATAATTTCCAACCAACAACTACAACTGATAAACGCTACAACTGTTGAATAGACCTTTATGTACATATAGTTAATCTCAATCCAGTCCATTAATCTGGAAAAATCAATGGAATCAGTGTAAATTTAGTGAATTCTACGTCTTTCATCTTTATAAAAATCGTTATAATTGACGATTCCATATACCATTATATTTTAGGGGTTGTTTATATTCAGAGTCGAATCAATGTATGTTACTTATTTTTTTTTGTGAAAACAGCTCAATTTCCTGAAAAACTTCCTTAATACAGAAACATTATATATAGTTGACATTTTCATTATATTTTACTGTGTCAAAATGACCTGAATATGAAGGACAGTATAGCCCTGAAAATGGAATTTCCCGTTTTACACATGACATTTACGCAGGGAAGACTACCATTGGAACGTACCATAAAATTTATCTTATCTTATCACCATTGTGAAGACTTCAATCTTTATTATTGTCCCTCCCTCAGACAAGGTATGTATATCCCTCTTTTTTTTTTTTTTGGGGGGGGGGGGGGGGGGGTGTTGTTCCCAACCTGTTGTGTAGTTGTAAAACAGGCCATTACTTTCTCAATTGAATAAATTTTTGTTGCATACTTTTCGTGTCGGGACTTTTTACAGCCAACAAGGGTTTTCCTCATTTTTGAAGGCTGTATGGTTGCCTATAATTGCTTTGTCATTTGAACTTCTGTGTATAGTTGTCTCATTGGCAATCATACCACACCTCCTGATTTTTATATCAACTAGAACACACCTGCGAAATCGCGGGCATTTTAGGGTATGGTTGAAAGTATGTAAACTGTTGTAGGATGAACTTTTGTAAAAGATTTTATGACTGGAAATTTCAGGTACTTGGAGACAGGACAAATTTTTTTAGCCCTTCCCTTTTTTCCAAAGTCCGTTGTTTTTTGTTTTCTGCTTATTTCAATTATTATTTCGCTTTTTTCTGTACACTATGAACATACTTATACTATAAATAAAGCGTATTTGCTATTTACTATCAATTCCAAGTTTACTATCCACGGTAGTCACTGATATATTATATACAGACTCTCTATATAATATATCAGTAACTGCCATGGATAGTAAACTTGGAATTGATAGTAAATAGCAAATACACTTTATTTATAGTATACATATGCAGGATCATATTAGTATAGTGTACATATACATGTATGATCATAGTATACATAAAAACGCGAAATAAATGTCCTGTCCCCAAATATTTATGAAAATTATGTGTAATTTTAAAACAGTCCTACATGTAAACGGAAGTCTTGTCTATGACTTAAAAGTCCATCCGATGATGGAAACAATATCCTAGCGCCTTTATTTTCGTTTTTCTCCCAAAATAACTCAAACTGAATAATCATAAGCAAGGATGACAAATGCGACTATGCATGATACCTATAGGACACAGAGGCATGATGATTATTTTATTGTGGAAGGAAGAAAAGCGACACACAAAATGAGGTCTCCTCATTTAATAGTATAGATTGCAGACTTGAAAAGATGTACAAAGTTAAATATGCTGCAAACTTCAAACAACCTACTACAACTGATTTACCACAAAACTGTTAGACAGAACTATATATATTTGATCTCATTCCAATCCTTAATACCACTATCAATCAACAGAACAAATGCAAATAATTATGATATCTTAAAAGGTATTTGAGTAGATCTTATCAATATAAACTGTATTGCAATATAGACATGTTGTTCCTTTTTACAGCAGACTATTTGGTATGGTTTTTCTCATTTTTGAAGGCCGTATGGTTGCCTATAATTGCTTACATCCGCCTTATTTGAACTTTGGTGAATAGTTTTTATTTATATAAATAAATCCCACGTCGATATTACATGTACAACAATCAGACATCAACCCAACGCCAAACTGAATGTAATTGAAAGACATCTAGAGGTCAATATACAGTCTCGAACAATAGACAAAATTAAAAAAAATACATCAAATTATTGAAAAGTATTATTGTTACATGTATTTGAAAGATTTAAAATATTATATCTTTCACAATTTTTTGAGTTTTAGGTTTTTAAAAATTTTAAAAAACTGTAATTTCATTGCGGCTAGTCTGTAAAAAGGATGTCAATTAGAGAAGTCAATACTTTTGGGACATTGATTTGAAAACAACTAATAGAGGTCTATTAGAGGGGTATTTAATTGGTCGTAGATTTGGAATCTTATTTTATTATGAAGTCAGATTTGGACATCGACTTGGGGAATGGAGGTCGATTAGAGACCTGACATTAATCTGAGTCTTATATATGTACATGTATACATATATTATTGATTCAGTTGTGATGGTAAATAGACAATCATAAGTCTGATAACATTTTATAGTTTTGAATGTTTGTTCACCAGTTTACTATGATTAGGTGGAAGTATGTTCTTATTTCAAACAGAGGGGCATTTAGCCTATATCAATTTGCGCATGAAGCGATTGTTACTTGTTAAATTTAAAAAAAAAAAAATTTCTGAATGAAAAACAATTAAAGGAGATAAATAAAAACACAAATTTGTTATCTTCTAGCTACAGACTTTCATTAAAAACTTACATAAATCGATAGTTGCATGCTTACCTGTAAAACCAGCTGCTGAACAAACAAATTTGACACTTCACTTGGGATGGATATCTGTGTTAACTGGAAATATTTGATATCTACATGGTAACCTGGGTGACATTTTTCTACAGGGAGACATGTGGCACAAACTGTGTTGTTTGTACAACTGCTAGGACAACAGCTTTGACAACAATCACCTATAAATAGAAAATATAGCATAAATGGGAAAAAATGGGGGCAATAACATCAATAAGGAGTCAATTAATTATTTCTGCCATGATGGCTTATTTGTAGATTTTGTCTTGCTGATCATTTTTGCTTTTAAAAGTTTCTTTCTATCTATTATAGATTTTAAGATATTAGCCAATCGAAAAAAATTGGTAAAAATCGTCATTAAAGGACAATAACTCATACAAGGAATTGACTGAAGATTTTGGCCATGTTGACTTATTTGTAGATCTTGTCTTGCTGATCATTTTTGCTATATAAAGTTTCTGTCTACCAATTTTAATTTTGGGATAATAGGCAAAAATTTCAAAAAATAGTAAAATTCATATTTTAAGGGCAATAACTCCTATAGGGCGTTAACTGACAGTTTGACGTAAATAAACAATAGGTAGAGCTCAACATTCTGAACAATTCTTATCTCGTAAGATTTTCTCAATAGCGGTTTTCAAAATAATAGGCAAAACTTGCATTTTACCCCATGTTCTATTTTTAGCCAGGTCATCCCTCTTGGTTGGCAGGCAGGGTCATCTGACAGATTTTTAAAACTAGATACCCCAATGATGATTGTGGTAAAGTTTGGTTAAATTTGGTCAAGTAGTTTCAAAGGAGAAGATTTTTGTAAAAGTTAACAGAAAAAGACCAGAGAAAAACTCACTTGAGCTATCGGCCAGGTGAGCTAAAAAGCTATTTTCTTTAGATTGTTACTTTCTTGTAAGTATTCGTCTTTAAAAAAATACTTGTATGGCTTTTTAAAATTTCTCAACTATCAAAAAAATAAATTATTGTCATTTTCATCACCTTTTTTATATCATATATCTAATCTTAGGCTATTCACTATGTTAATCTAGCCAGTATCATCTTTTATGTACTAAGCTTACCCTCAAATCTTGCCTGCAGTAAAGTTAAGATATATTTTTCCAGGTTAGTTCTGTTTAGTCTGAAGTAATCAAGGCTGAACTGGCCAACATGGTTCTTAATCTCACTCCTAGCAACATTTCGCAATACTCCATTATAATCTTGTTCGTACTGTCTGTGGAGATCGCCAAGCTCACTACTCCTGTAACAAGACACAGAAAACTTGTGACAAAACATACATGCATACAAGCAACACAACTAAATGATAGATGATATAATGTATAGGATGAAATTATGTCGTATTGAAATAAAATATGGTATTGGTCTGTGTCAATTTTTATCTAAAAAAATATATTTAAAGTCAAAAGTAATCTGCAGAACCCTGTGCCACACCTGCAATTGCTGCTGTCAAAGTAAACATAATAAAAGTGTAATTTTGATGCCAAAAACTAAGTCAATTTATCAGTAAATATTGGGGGGGAAAATCTTTTTTCTTCAGATGTTAATTCTTGATTATAATGAAGCTGCTGTCCAAGTGTAGTAACATTCCGTGATGGTTTAACAAAGTTATGGATGTCTTAAAAATTAACCCCAGATCATATATTTGTGATTACTGCAAAAAACTATATCTATCTACACAAATGTATCAGTAAAATAATGGGAAATAAAAATAATTTGTTTTCAAAATTTTGCATCAAATATTATCTCTTAATTGTTAAAAATCTTTTATCAATGATTCATAAAATTTTATGAAGTAAAGTTATTGATGCCTATCAAAAAAGTAACCCTAAGCTATTTGATGTCATTTCTGCGTTTGTTTAGCATATCAAAAATTTACGTCAGTACATTGAGCAAATGGATGAATATTCTAACGGGAAAAATTTCATTGTGAATGCTTAGATAAATGTGTTAAATGATAAAATTAATATATTTCTTTAGGCAGAGTTGGATTATGTACATACAAATAAAGTGCTTGAAAAATATCAAGCAGGCACAAAGACTTTGCCAGTTCAAAGATGCAGGGATACAGTTAGCCCATAAAACATTTATATAATGTTAGAAATCAGCGTATAGTAATCAGAGTTTTTTTGGTAATGGAAATAATATGAATCAAACATATTACAATATAATTTAAAAGCATAAACACAGATACTTCATTCAATTCTTCAAACTGCTTTGCATCACCAGCAGTTGAAGCTGTCATTTCACCATGTTTTTTTTTCTTAATTGTTTACAGGCATAAGTTCTATGGACACTTTCAGGCATTGTGGGCAAATAAGCTTGAAAATATTATTCAGTCTGCTATATTGTTTCATTGATTCATAAATTCTTCACAAGAATACTTTGCAAAAATATGGCTATTGTTATATTTTGATTTTGCATAGAAATGTAATTGCAATAACAAAAATTTGTAAGGGGTTCCACGGAACACTGTCTCTCAGGGGGAAGTAAAATTAAACATTGCATTGTATAAAGCATTAGTTGTAGTTGATTCAACTAAAATTATGGACAAAGGAAGATAACTCCAATTTCAAAGACTACTTTAACAATGACATCATTGATATTTTTAGAACAGATCTTAGATTCCTACACCTTGCATAAGTTATGTAATTTTCTTGACAAGTACAACATCATTTTGTAACTTGAATATCTGAGCATATATTTCATCGATAAACTTCTGAAAATGTTCATGGATAGGATGTTTAGAATATATTGATCAATGCACTATACTGTGTGTATCTCAAAAGTAGTGATAAACCTTGACAGGTTTAAATATCAAGTCAGTACCATAGGGTTTTGATTGCATTTCATGCAATCTTGAACCAAAAACTAAGTATCAGAAAAATACTGAAAATGAAACATATTTTCAAAATGTTTGCTTTAGACATTATCTCTTAATAATAAAAAAGCTTCTGCCAAAGTTTCATAAAATTCTATGAAGGTTTGACAAAGTAATTGATGTGTAACAAACTTTAACCCCCAACTGGATCTACTAGTTAACTGTTAAAAAAAGCTAATTCCATTTATTAGTAAAATACAGGAAAATGAAAATAAATATTTTCAAAATTTTGCTCTAGCTTCTGTATTCTGGTCATTAACAAGCTTTTGTCCAAATTTCATAAAATTCCATGAAGGATTGACAAAGTAATTGTGTGTAACAAACTTTAACCTCAGACTGAATGGGAATGTTAACTGTGAAAAAAAACTAAGTCAATTTATCAGAAAATACGAAAAAATGAAAATAAATTTTCAAAATTTTGCTCTGGATACTGTATTTTTGTCATAAACAAGCTTCTGTTCAAATTTCATAAAATGCCATGAAGGTTTGACAAAGATATTGATGTCGAAAAAAAACTTTAATCACAGACTGAACCTAAATTTTGACACAACTGACGGAATCTAGGATCGCTATGTCTTGCTTTCGCGACCTTAATGTTGCAGGCTTGACAATAAATGAAGATATACACAAAATGGGAGATAACCCTTGAAAAATTGCTTAACAAATCACAAAATATATATTGTACCTTATATAATACTGAAGATGGAAAGACATGGTAATTTCTAGTTTATCAATAGTAAATACATCTGTTGTCATAGAGATGGTGTTGCCATACTTAGGATAGCGTATAAATTCTTTATCAGGGCCTAGAACATAACATCCGGTGAAATAAACAGTGTCTCGATCCACAGTTCCTGTGACTTTGTTTTTTAGCAAAGCCATCTAAAAAAGAAAGATAAAAAAATATTACAACATGACAATCTTAGTAATTTCACAGCATTACCAATTTTTCACTGGCAGATCTAGATTGTAAACAAATTAAGTTACTGAAATCAATGTTGCATAAATAATACATCTTGGTTTCAACAATTATACCTGATAAACAACTAACTAAATTGGAATTTCAATATCTTACATATTTTAAAAAAGCAAAAAGATCATTGCAAAACAAGAGTGCATACACTGAAATATCTCACATGTCTTACTTATTGAATTAATGTTGGGAGTCTTTAATATGGAGGTTTAACTACAAGTATCACATAAACTTAACATTATCAATGATCCATGTAAATAAGGTCAAAGTCAGATGAACCTTACCAGACAGACATGTACACCTTATAATCATACCATACACCAAATATAGTTAACCTATTGCTCAAAGTATCTGAGAAACAGACTTAAATACAACAAAATTAAGGTGGACTAATGAACCCGAACCATGAAAATGAGGACAATGTCTGATGAAACTTGCCAGACAACATGTATACCATGCAATCATTACATACATCAAATATATTTTACCAATTGCTGATAGTATCTGAAAACTTAAGCTTGATCATTGATCCAGGAAATGAGGTAGAGGTTAGATGAACCCTGTCTGACAGACATGTTGACCTTGCAATGATCCCTTATACCAAATATAGTTATCTTATTATTCATAATAAGTGAGAAATTCACATGACAAAAAAAAACTATAGTTTTTTAAGCAGTCACTGAACTATGAAAAAGAGGTCAAGGACAATGGACATATGATAGATGTAGATCAAAGGTGTTAAGCATCCAGGTCTTCTACCTACTGAAATATAAAGCTTTATACTGCTACTTTACAAGCATATTAGCATCCCCATGTCTTGAATGCTGCATCTTTTGTCACAGTCGAGACAAAAAAAATGGTCTAACTATTCAAATAATATTAGCAACATGTATCTATGCAGTATACTCTGCATCACAAATAGTGCTTCACTTATTCTCATATAAAGTAGTTTAACAATTTCTTGTTTTCCTTAAAATTTACAAAACTCTTGTATATTTTAAGCACAACTTTGAAATTGATCTAATATATGTCAACAGTTTTTGTTTTAGTGGGAACCGTGGGGAATATTACCCCAAAAAGTTGAATACAAATGTCAGAGATTAAAAAACTGTCATTTTCTTTGTTTACAGGTTGAAAAGATTAACAAGACTTCCATCTTCACAAATTTGGCAAAATGTCTTGTTTTGTTGAAAAATGTTTTTGAAAAGTCAAAAATAAAGATCCAGGAAATGTTCACTTCACACAGAATATAATATTTATGAACCCAGAAATATTGTGTCAGAATTTTAACTCATTTCAATCAAATTTTAAGAAGCTATATCCCAGTATTTTTACTCTTAAGAAATTATTGGACGCAGTGCATATCTTTTCAGCGAGTTGAGTAAATTAATTTGGGTCTACTGTGAAAACATATAGTTTCTACATAGATATATAACAACATTGTAATATGACCTACCTCATGGTACTCAACATACACAAAACTTGCTGGAAATATTCCCACAAAAAGAATTAATCCAATAATCACTGTTGCTATGGTGACAAGAATCAAGAATTTCTGAAGTGTCAGTGAATTTAAATATCGAACAACACGTGGAAATCTGTTTCCAAAACAATTATCACACTCACTGAAAAAAATAAACAAATAAAAAATATTATCACAGATACCTTATTTATGATTCTGCCGCTAAAAGTAGAAGGAAATAATATTTTTCAATGTGGAATGCGTAAATAATTAAAATTGAACAACCGAGAAGCGCTATTATTTTTGCACAATATATAAAGTTTGCATCTGTTTCTCTTATGATTGTAAGATGATTTGATATATCATGTTAAGAGAGTCATACTTTTTGTATGTAAAAGAATACTTGCAAGAACTCTTTGAAGGGTATGTAGGTGAACTATGGCAAGGCAAAAATTTTGCCATTTTCCAACAAACCCTCTATTTCAAATGACTATCAAAAATGTCCACCCTTCAAACCAGTCAATCCACTCATCAGAACCTACCTATCTGATTAAATGTCTAATTTGTTCACGTCCAGAGTATATTTCGGGTTGGTGTTTAGAATAAAGCTCTTGAACCATGAGTTCTGATTGGTTAAGCTGAAATCATCCCTTCCAAAGTTTTTAGGACACCATCATGATTTGGTTGACTGTTATGAAATATCTGTGTCACAGATGACCACCTAGTATATGTTCCACTTGTGGATGCCTTATCCTGTCCTCCTTTTCTCACTTCAACCATCACAGCAAGTGACTGATCACCAAACTTATGTATATTATTAACAACATGACAATTGCCAATAGGGGAGCAGAAAACTGCTTTCCCTTATGGATCACCGGTGTTAATCTCAGTTTTTGACTGGTTTAAATTATGTTGCTTAAATCGTTTAAAATTTTTCTGTAGTCTGCTGTTTTCATCTTTTCTCTTTTGCTTGTATTGCAATTATGTTGTCTGTCTTAAATTATTTACTTTCTATGTTCATGATGTTTGTTTTTGCTTTCTTTGTATTTTTTTTCTCTGTCTATCTCTTAAAACTCAATCACTTGTACCTAACTGGTAAAGCAGTGTCTTTAAATTAAATTTTAGAAATTTTAGAGAAACAAAATTCAGCTCACTACTAACTGACCATAACTTTTTTTAGTCGTACACTGAAATCAAGCCATTTATTTTCCCAAGTAGAAAAATAACGCAAAAATATAAATTGTTGTAAACATGTAAATCTTGGGTCTGCTCTTAAATACAACAAGAAAATTGGAAAATCATGATAAATAAAATTGATGTGAAGTCTACTAGAAAGCACTAAATTTGAAATAAAATATCTGTGAAAATAAGTTGGTTTACAGTTATCTGGTAAAATTTGCAAACAGATGTATTTTATCATCTAATTATAATTATGTACTTCAATTTCATGTACATTTAAGTTAATTATTCTAAGAAATATAATCTACTGAGAAAATGATTGTGTGTTGAACTTACAATCTTTTCCTTTCTTCTTCTCTTCTTCCTTCTTCCACATCAAACTCAGTTCTTGTTGTTGCTGAAATAAAGCAAGATAAACCATTTCATAAATAAATTACGCTTGTTAAATGTCCACTGGCTAATATGTTAATATTGCAGTTATCAAGTAGTATTTTTCATCCAGAGCTATTCAAGAAATCCAGTAAATGTAATGAATGGGTTGGGTCACCATCACTTTTTATGATATCTCATCATGAGTAAAGTATTAAAAAATAAAATGTGAAAACCTCATTTAGAAAGATATATATTTTAAAAACCAATCATTTTCCTTCAAAGGTTATTTCACGTGGTCTTCCACACCATTTGGCGTTCTAAAATTTATGTGAACCATTTCAGGAAAAGATCCTTGATTGCATTTCAAGCAACATGTTGCTGAATAACAGAATAGTAACACCTATTTATGTCTTGCATATAACACACAGAAACATTTCCGAGATTGTACAACAACAAAAATCCTCTACAGGACTCATTAAAAATAACTTGATCACTTAAAATAATTAAACTGTATAGGTCCAAGTTACCACATTTACTGCAATCAATGAAAACATCTGGAGTAACCTTCATTAGGAAAACCTATTTGTAAAAACATAACGATGGCCAAAGGTGTATTATTCATGTATAGATGGTACCAGGGTTCTCAAATAGCGTTGAAGCAGCCGAACATTGGGAAACCATTAATGTAAAGATATAATAAAAATCCAGGAAGCCAGGTTTCTAAATAAAGACTTGAAGTATGCAGCTCAACTGACAAATGTAGTTGGCACATCTGGAATATACTGCATTGTTGCTAGTCACTCACTTTTTGAAACCTTTTGAGCTACCTCTATTTGCCTGAGGGAGTTTTCACTTAGTATTGGTATAATTCAAAAACTTTGTCACAGATATAAAACATATATATCAAAATTCAGGCTCAATACCAAGCATTTATACTACTGAGTATAAACAGGTAGTTTCTTTTTGACTAATAGTCAACTACCAATGCCATTGACACAAAGGGAGGTAAATGAAAATACTTTTTTTGAAATTTGCTGTATTTGATGCACATTTCAAAATTTCCTAAACCTACATCTCAAATATACTTGTGTATAAAAGTATCAAATCAATTATCTATCAATTCTTGGAATGTTAATGGAATGTTTAAAAGAATAAGTGGTAACAGAGTTTGTAAACTAGATGATAATATTATTTGTCAAATTATGACTGCAGATATTGTTTGTTTTTGAGAAACACATATCCCCTCCAAAGAGATTTTAAGCTTTGATGGTTATTAGTGTTTTGTAAACTGTAGACACTCTGATTCAAATAAGGTTAGAGGTGGTTTAGCTACTTTTTTTTAAGAAGGAAATATTTCCAGGTTTAAAATTGACTGATAAATCCATGGATGATATAATGTGGTTCAAACTAGACAAGAGTTTTTTCAGTTTTGATAGAAATGTATATCTATGTTTCCTATATGTTCCTCCTTCAAACTCATCTTACACAATAAGAACAAATTTTGATAAACAAATTTTTGAAAGACTTGAAGCAGATATTGCAAAATATAGTATTTCGGGCGACGTTATTCTTATGGGAGATCTTAACGCACATATTAACTGTAAAGAATTAGATTTCATAACAAATGAAGTAGATGACAGTTTGGACAACTTTCTTCCAACTGATTATGTTGCAGATAGTGTATGCAAATTTAGAAATACTCCTTAACGGAAGAATGCTGGGTGATCTGAAAGGTGAAATCACTTCCTACAATCATAATGGTGTGTCTATTGATGACTATTGTTTATTCTCATCTGAATTTTTACTAAATATTGTCAATTTTAGTATTGGTCAATATGAACCAACTGTCTCTGATCACTGTCCAATCTCAATTACCATACTATCTCAATAAGAAAAGGAGTCATTTGATTATGTTAATATAAAAATAAGAAGATGTGGTATGATTGCCAATGAGACAACTCTCCATAAGAGACCAAATGACACAGAAATTAACAACTATTGGTAAGCCTACTCTTACAAAAGTTAAATGGACTAATAAATGAGAAGAAATTTTTAAGTCTAATATGTTGAAATTTTACTTTAGAACCATTAACTCTGAATTAGATAATTTAACCCAAAAAATGGATGCAAATAATACATTTGATTCCACTTTAACTCAACGTGTTAATGACACAGTCTCGAGTATATCATCAATATTGTACAATGCTGCTTTTTTAAGTAAGACTAATAAAACTCCTGTTATAGCCAGGAGAAATAAGCGTAGAAAAATAAAAACAAGAGTGCACACACTGAAATGTCTCGCCTACCATACTGACCATTGATTTTATGTTGATAGTTCTAAATATAAAGTTTTACAAATATTACATTAACATTTATGATCCTAGAAAATGAGGTCAAGGTCAGATAAAGCAGGCCGGAAATACATGTACATCTTTAATACAATCATTCCATACACTGAATATAGACCACTTATTGCTTATAGGATGCACTTTGTAAATACAGCTGTTTCTCAAACCACGCCACTTTTGGGGAGATATATAATATTCATAGATATGTTAATTTGTTAATGTACTGGTTCCCATTTATGATCTCTGTGTTTCATCTCATAGAGACATCACTTGGGAATGTAACCAGTATAGAAAAACATGGTAGCGCCTAAATTTTAATTCTTAGGAGGTCCAAATATGAAGGTAAGGGTAGTATAGAATTTTAGTATAAATTTAAACTCTTAGAAGTTCAGGGCACATAAATGTTGAAAATATGCCGCACAGCCCTATATTTTGACCTTTGAATAAAATAGTAGTGCATATAAACTTTCCGTTCTGGGATAATATTTTTCACGAAACTTCATAGTAAAAGTGTCACAGTTTTAGCCGCATAGGGAGTTCCTATGGGAAATTGCATTGTCTATATTTACAGAATCGCAACCTATATAGGGTTAAAAAATAGAACATACAGAATTTCACAAAATCTGGTTTATCGCAGAGATTTTAAAGAATTTAACTCAAATATGAAGTTTTATAAATATTTCATGAAGATTGAGAAAATCCTGAGCCTTAACTATGATGACTCAGCAAAAATTCACAGTTTACAGTATGCATGGTTTACTTAAAGCCCTGAATTCAAAATAAATTCATAATATATGCCTATTTGTGATTTAAATTGTTTAGAAGTGCTTATATTTACTATTCTCAGTCATTGGAACTCATTGATCCTTCCTAAATAATTTTGTTGGGTTATTTTTGTCCTGTCGATAACCCAAAAGTAAGCCGTAACACCTAAATGTGTTTTTTTGTGACCGCGGCATTAAAAAGTACAAGCTAGAATTACAAAAAGACCTCAGTAAAACTTACAATAGTGTGTTCTATCCTAAATATATACTAAATATTCCACACTGCTAGAAACAGGGAAAATATTTAGGAAATGTGAGGCCCCAGGGGGCAAAAAACAGAAAAAAATGCCTACCCTGGGTCATAAAACAGATAATTTAACTTGTAAATCCTATGATTTTATTATTTTCAAGGTCTTTTGTAAACAAAACAATAACTGTGCTGGAAAGTAATGCAAAAATAAGATGTAAGCAGTCATTTCTATCAAACTTTTAGTGAATTTAGGCATTAGACTGATATCTTCTTAAATACAACTTTGCAAATATGGCTTTGTTTAGACACTTCTAGTTCATATATTAACTAACTTATGTTAGTTATATGGTAAGAGATGATACTGTTGTGACAAGAATTCTTAACTGACCATTTGAGACAGAAATTGTGAACTTTCATTGACAAATAGGCATACAGTAAGATGTGGACTGGAGACACAGGCAGGCTTGGATACTTTGTATAATCTTGAATGTTGGAATGATTAACTACTAAACAATACATTTATAGTATTCTAAAATGCGTTCAATTTTTTATCAGAATAGTTTCAAACATGTTTTAGACATTTCATGTCAGAAAACATGCACATAGGGTAAGCTGGCAATGATTAAAGTCTTGTTTTCAAATTCTTTAAAAAATTGAAACAGGGGTAGGGGTATAAAATGTACTGTAAAAGGAAACTTAGAGTATATGCAGTGATTTCCTTAAGGCTATAATTCTGATAAATAAGTATTGTTGTGAGAAAAAGTGTTTTTAGAAGGTTTTCTATTTGAATAAATGTTTGTATAGGTTGCACTTTGTAAATACAGCTGTTTCTCAAACCACGCCTCTTTTGGGGAGATATATAATATTCATAGATATGTTAATTTGTTAATGTACTGGTTCCCATTTATGATCTCTGTGTTTCATCTCATAGAGACATCACTTGGGAATGTAACCAGTATAGAAAAACATGGTAGCGCCTAAATTTTAATTCTTAGGAGGTCCAAATATGAAGGTAAGGGTAGTATAGAATTTTAGTATAAATTTAAACTCTTAGAAGTTCAGGGCACATAAATGTTGAAAATATGCCGCACAGCCCTATATTTTGACCTTTGAATAAAATAGTAGTGCATATAAACTTTCCGTTCTGGGATAATATTTTTCACGAAACTTCATAGTAAAAGTGTCACAGTTTTAGCCGCAAAGGGAGTTCCTATGGGAAATTGCATTGTCTATATTTACAGAATTGCAACCTATAGTATAAAAGAAACACAGGACCAAACGATGGAAATTTTATATTGACCAATGAACCATAATCAAAGTACTGAAGTACTGAACATCGGATGACCGCAGGTTCTTGTGGATGGTCAAAAGCACATGTCACAGAAACAGATCACATCTCAATACCTGAAACTGAGGTTAATTACAGAGATTTTTTTTCTTATACAAGTTCGTGCTTGGAAGATGAATAAATGACAGGAAATTCAACCTCACCGTAATAACTATTATATTGTAGTGATACAAATCAGTATACCTGGGACTATTATACTAATATAATAATAGTTCCAGAGAATACACTGGTTTGTTGTTATATATTATATTAATATTACGGTTGCATGTATATATAATTTTCATCTATTTGTATATCATACTATTCTACTATTAT